GAAGAGCCTTTCCCAAAGACCGTCTTTTATCTAATTAGGGGAGGTGGAAGAAATTCCGGAAGCCGCCCGCTGCGTGTGGATTTCTGACGCTTCGAAATCCTGTTTAATAACTTAATAGTTATTTGAAAGTTTGTTAGGGAGAGCGCCAAGGGAAGCTGAGTTACCCGAACAATGGGATCGCTCACTTTATTTTTTTTAAACACCGAACTCTCAGTTTTTGCAGAAGCAGACCCTAAACCACTAACTGAAAAGTGCTAATGAGATTGGGTGGTTTGTTTTTTTTTTTTTTATTCCCGCCCTTTTAAAAACAGCATTCGTGGCCTGATCCTACGGACACACTAATACTGTTCATACAAGTCAACAGTATTTCCAGTTTATTTGCTTTATTCATGTGCATAAAATGACAGAACACGAATTTTGGCTGAAGTATGATGTAACCTTTGACCAACAAAAATACAGTAGTAGCACCAGCAGCATTTCTAAATGGTAGTAAGTTCCCCTATTCGGACATTGTTTAAATGAATGCAATTTACTCTTCTAATCGAATATAATCTCCATTTTAAAGGCTAAAGAATTCTAGGTTTGTGCAAATATATTCTGGCAGTGCAAAATCAATTTTGCTTTAACCTTTTTGTATCCCCAGTGAAACTAGCTGTGTATGTACACTAAGCTTTGGAAAAAATAATTTCAAAGAGGAATCTGGAAGCGTTTGAATTATTGAAAAAGGATTATAACAAAATTCCCAATGTTTCAGTAATGTTAATCGACAGTGACAAGGGTTGTGCCAAATCCGGCTTCAAAGTGTTCTCCAAAATCATTACTCTGACGTCACGCCCATCCAGAGAAGTAGATTTAACACTATTTGACCAGTGTAGAGGCTGACACAGAAATAAAAAACTGCCCTGGAAGACAAAACAAAGATGTGAGCAGAAAGAAATAAAACCTCATTTGGGTGTCTCACCGTTAGACTACTGCTTGTTGGCGACACTTCCTTTTTTCACCTAGACCATATGGTCCAGGCTCTTTTAAATGCTTGTTAGAAAATGGACTAACCTGGTTCTGCTCACTTACCCAGACAGGATAATCTTGTTAATCTCATAATGGCCGTCAATTTTGAGCATGCGCTGGCTTTTGACTAGACTTGTCTCTGAACAAATGCTTAGCATTTTATGGATGCGCATAAATGTACACTTCGCTTCCTTCCTATCATTGTTTGCTCCTTCTTTGGCCTACTACTGTGACTATTTTTGTGAAATTATGCAGCACTTCTAAGATCTCTTTTGTACAAGCTAGTGCTGGTCTCCTATTCAGCAGCTTTTGCTGTTCTCATTTGCACTGAAGCAACTTTAGACTTTACTGTGGCAGCCAGGTTCACTGCAGGGTAGAAAATCTGCACGTGAATGAAAGGAATCCATTTAAATAGGGCACACGAAAGTTGCCCCATGGAGACAGAGTGCAAACCCAGCATGCCAGCTTTCAGAAGGCAGACAGACAGTATCTCTTGGAGAATATTTTCTTTGCTTCATGCAGGCAATCACTCAGTACAATCTATTGTCTTTTTGTGTTGGGTTTTTTGCTGTTTTTTTTTGCCCCCCCGAACTGGTTGTCTCTTCCTTCAACTGTAACTTTTTATATCCTGCTCTAGGAGACAAAACAGCAAGAATCTGGACCAGAAAAAAACCCCACCATGCAACCAAATTGCAGTCATCTCCACAATATCCAAGGGAGTGGTGATGACCCTTCATCTTCTCAGAGCACGCACGGAGCGAGGTTGTCAGGGGAGAGCTCGTGCCATCGGAGCGGAGATGTTCGCATACAGCTGAACTCTGCTGAGGGAGAAGCCAGAGAAAATGCAAGTTCCCGGCATTCAAGGCCAGGCTCCCAAAGTCGCTCACATGGACATGCCCACAGCGATGCAGGGAGGCTCGACGATTCCACTCCAGACTCAGAGGAACACAGCAGCAGCTCCCTCTCAGAGCTCAGATACCTCCTCCAGTGGCTGCACAAAAGTCTGCCGTATATCTTGATTCTGTCTGTCAAATTGATCATGCAGCATATAATTGGTAGAGTATAAAAAAACAAGGTCTGAGAGAACCTATCCCCCCCCCCCCCCAAGAAATTTAACAATAACCATGCCTGAAACATAATTAAATTTATTTTTAGCTTTATTTGCTTTATTCATCAGAAAGAGAGATTTACTAAACGACATTTCAGTGGCTTCTGTTTCCTTTGCTGGCATATGTACAATGTGCTTAATTATTCTGGCTTGATAGTCTGAGCTATAAGTTGTAATTACAAAGACATATTAGAAGTGGCTGGTTTTTTAACCCACTTCAGTAATTTTTTTTATTTTCTTCTGTATAACTGACCCTTTTTTCCTAATAGGCATTTCTCTTGGAATTGGGCTGCTAACAACTTACATGTATGCAAACAAAAGCATAGTAAATCAGATTTTTCTAAGAGTAAGTATCATCCTATGCAACAAAACTCTGTAAGTTAACCAAGACCTTTATCCATCAATTTTTGAAAGACATGTGAATGGAGACACTGGTTTATTTACCTAACAATGTTATGTATCAAGGTTTCAAGATGGAAGTAAAGTCTTAATGTTTCTCTCTAGTGCAGAGCTTCTCAGATAAGCAAGGTTTGCAAAATTCAAAAAGAGGTTTTTTCCCCCCTCGGACTTTGAATATGGAAGTCACTTCAACTGATAAAACCTGTTTGGAATTTATGGAAGAACTTCTTAAGTATATTTGTGGCATCAAATAACAGTTGACAGTTTAAACTTTCAGCTGTCTCTATTCATTGTCAAAGGAAAACTTGTTTCTTCAGAGTGGGGTGGGTTTTGATTGTTTTTAGAAAAAAGCTTGATACACACAGAAATTGTTACACTGAAAACATTAAAATTACTGCTTTACCTTTCTATTGAGTTTTCCTATTTTATTTGGCTTGAAACCACCAAGATAAAATCCTCTAGTAGTAAAATTCTGTTCAGGTGCAGCAGACGTAGTGCTTTGGAGATATATTTAAGACAGTGATACTGAGATAAGGACTGTAATATGTCTTTATGATTATCTTACAGGAACGGTGCTCCAAGTTGCAATGTGCTTGGTTACTAATATACCTAACTGGATCATCTCTCCTCTTGTATTATACCTTTTATTCTCAGTCACTGTATTACAGGTAAGTAGAGGAACATCTCTACTCACATCATAAATTACTCAAATATTAACTTGGAGTATTTTATCTGGGCTGCTGCTGTTTTTCTTTAATTGTGGCATTGGTTTCTCTTTCATTTTAATGTCCATTCCTCCTCTTCTGCTAAACTGAATAGGTGCTGTCCTTAAAAACAGTATGTTTGAATTCGCAAGATTAGACCCCATGCTCAATGGTACTACTGTACCATGAGGAATGTAGCTGGGTTTGAGTCCTAGCTTTGACCCTACCACCTTGCCTTCGGAATACTAAATATGGTATTCTGGGGCTCTGTGGAGTTTATGTCTCTATTTATTTTTTCTTCCCTTACAGCCAAGACTGTAGCTACAGAATGGGAAATCAGTCAAATGCTGTATTGCTAAAATGGGAAAGAAAGCCTATCTCTAGAGGATGGGTGTTGCGAGGAAGATAGAGGAAGGACGGTTCAAAAACTGAAAGGTTGTCAGAGATCATAAATGATCAATTTGCAATAAAGAGTTCATTTTTGTAGCAAATATTTTTCCTCTGTGTAAACCAGGTTTCCTTTTTAAATTAAACCTGCCATGATAATCTCTGGTTATGCTTTCCTCTAAATAGGGTGCTCCAGTAACTTCTGATAATTCCTTTTGTAGCTTAATCTTTTTAAAGCCTACTGTGGATTTTATGAACTTCTGGGAGGTACTTTGGATTGTGGGAGTCACAGACTTTATTCTGAAATTCCTCTTCATGGGCTTCAAGTGCTTTATTCTCTTGGTGCCTTCTTTTATGATGTCCTTTAAATCCAAGGTAAGAAAACAAGCTATATTTTTGTTTCCTTATGAAGATTCTTTTATGGTAAAATTAGCTATTTATTAAATTCTATGCAGAGAAAAGTCTTTTTAATTAAAGGTCTGTATATAATCCGCCACTACACTGTGGGTGAGAAAACCCTGTGGATTTCATGTTCTTCCCTGCTTGGTGCTAAGGAAGGTTTGCAGTCTGATCTGAAACAATTTGCTTGTATTATGTCATCGGATAAATGGGCTTATTTCTGTCTCTACGTGGGGGGGATGAAGAAACCTTTTATTTGCTGCAGTGTAAGAATGTGTATACAGGCTATTAGCATAGAGCAGCTGATGCACAGTACATTTTTCACATGCTTGGCAATAACTGAAACAGGAAGATTTTAAGATCTGCACATGCAAACAGCTGTATTTTCTGTCCCTTCAAAATAATTCTGAATTCTCTTGTTATTAATAAGCAATATTTGTGTCAGATCAATGAATATGATTCATAGCTTAATTCCCCAAACTGGTGAAGTTTAATGATTTTTATAGAAGACTACATAGGTTGGTGGGTTATTTATTTTTATCTGCTTCCCGAGGTAAGACATGCAAAAAACAATTAAATTTTATGTCAAAATAGCAAATACTAGTACTGTTAAAAAAAAAAAAAAAAAGAACAAGTACAGTTTGTACATGATAGCATTTGAACAGGATATTTTGGTAGGTTTTATCTTTTCAAATGTACCAGGACAAAGTTTTTCTCAGGGACAACCAATTTCAGTAAGTACCAGTTTATAATCAAGATATCTTCTTTTTTTTTTTTTAAAAAGCTAGTGACACAATATCCAAAAAATAATTGTTGAAAATCCCATTACACCAATTGTGACCTAAACTGTGGCTAAAGTAAAGACAGAATCTGGTCAATAGTGGCAAACCATGGCATTATCCAGTGTACATTATAGAAGGAGTACTTCTTCCCTGTTATAAATCAAGTTTTAAAGACAAGCTAAACAAATAAAGTAAGAGCTAAGCTAAATATTTATCATTATACATACACACACACAGTGCTCTATGCAGGACACTTGTGCTTTGCAGCCATTATTCAGTAGTTTTTAGAGTGTCACTGAACTCCATTTATCTGTCCAGTCACCCTGTGCTTCTTTCTCCCCCTACCACCACCATTTTCTTATCACCCCATCCTATATAGGCATTAACTATCACAAGATAAGGCTTCTTAGACAGGCATGAAATAATGTTTACAGGAAAACAGTTTGTAACTTATGCTTGTTTAATGAAAGAATTGGCCTTACTCTCAGTCCTTAATCCTGAATGCAGGGGACAACTCTGCTAATGACAAGCTGATCTATGTGACCAAATTTGTCTTATTTTCCTTTTTCACATAACTTTTATTTTCTTTTTTAATGCTTATGAAATTAAGTCTAATAGCATGGTTAAGTAGGTAGGCATCTGACAAAGCTATCCCATTTTAGCCTATTAATTTGATTTTCTGCAGTACAGCAATTGTGTCATTGTTATTTGTACAGCTGTGGTGAGACTCTTCATCTGGTCTTCATTCTTTTTCATGCTTAATACTTAGTTGTTCCAAGATATTATGAGAGGAAGTTACTCAAAAGAATAACAATGCATCTTTTCTCTATATTTTAAAAATCCTTTGTGTTTTAAATCTTGAGCGATTCCTTTGCATGTCTTGCTTAGGGCTACTGGTACATGCTCTTAGAAGAACTCTGCCAGTACTACCGTATGTTTGTCCCCATACCAGTTTGGTTCCGTTATCTTATTGGCTATGGGGAGCTGGACAGTGTACTAGGATGGACCCTTGGGATATTGCTGGGCCTTCTCTACCTCATCCTAAAAGTATGTAAGCTTTATATTCCTCTCAAACTATTTTGCAGTAATTATCATAGGCACATAAACTAATATATTTCTGAATGTTCCCCTGTGTTTGAACTGACTTGCAAGTCGATGCTTCAGTTCAACTGATACAGCCTTCCAAAATGGATAGGAATACTGGCTCAGGGCACTGAATCTTCTTTTTCCTGCACTTGTTCTGGGAACGGATTCTTGTTGCGTAGTAAAGAACACTGTTACTATAGGTCCCCTCACATCAAACATTGGTCAGACCGTTACCAGATACCGAGGAAGACAGCTTGCAAAAATAAAGGTAAAATTAATGGCTAAAAGAATCAGCATTTTCCAAGAAACAAGATTTTTCTCTCCGCTAGAGTATCCTGTGTGATGCCAAACAAGTTAAACCTAAGTGTTCATACTGGCTGTCTACTCTGCCAAAGAGCTAATCTGCCCCAAATGTAACCAGACTCAGTACAAGTTCAGCTTTGAACACAAAAAAATACTTTATAATGCTAAGGTATTTTAATTATAAGTCTAAAGACTATTGCATATATGATAATAATGCTGGTATATTTGCACTCAAGTGCTTCATTTCAGAAGCTCAACACTATTTTTCTTTTAAAGAACAGATACCTACTGGGAAAAAAAACTTGAGGCCAAATTCTTAGTTTGGTTACATATTAAGCAACTAAAACAGGGGCAGTCTGAACTATAGCTTTGCTTATGTTCCTGCCAACATCAAACTAGCAGTGAGACTTGTAGTGTTGGAATCTGCACAAAAGCTTGGAAGCTTTTTAGTTCACAGAGAAAAATACTATGCATAACTCAGGTTTTCTTTCCCATTTCAGCTTTTGAGCTTTTTTGGACAATTGAGAAATTTCAGGCAGGTCTTACGGATATTTTGTACGCGACCAGTGAGTACTGAATTCTCTTATGACAAAAGAATAAACCCAATTTACATGAAAACACTTCTTTTTTTAAATACCTCATTCCTATATTACTTTGTATTGTTCTAGCAATAGACAACTGCATATTTACAATAAACCCAACCCACAGTTGGATTATGTTATCATCTGAACAACAACAAAAGAATCTATTCTGCATGTCTCTTCAGATAAATGTATGTGAAATAACATACCCATTTTGTCCTGCTTCCTACTTTTTAACTGCATATTGGTTGGATGCAGGCAGAGCTTTATGCTGAAATATAGTGAGAATTGAAGCTTGCCAAAATAATTGACAGACAAGTAACTTCTGTTAGAACCGTAAGTTTCTAGATAATCTTTTTCTGTAGTAAGAGGTATTGTTTAGAGTCTGCTATTCATGCAGTAAAACATATAGAAGATTTTGGAGCACAGTGTCATTGAGCTAAACGAATAAAGCACTTCTCATTTTCTAAGTGCTATCTTGATCAAATTGGAAGTTAACAGTGTTTTGCTCAGAGGTCACTGTTAAAATAAAACTGATACAGATTTTTCCAGTAACTGTGATCAGTAGAAGATACTAACTAGACAGCATGGCAAGTGGGAGCACATAAGCTTTAGGCTCCAAGACAACTATTAAAAAAAACTTAGCAGCGTTTCATTAGATTAGGGATTGAACAGTTTTCCTGACATAGCAGCCCTTATTCCCAGTTCCTTTCTGTCTTCATATTTTATGTTTTGCTTTGGCCTCCCCCCCCACCCCCAAACTAATATCTGCTGAAAATATCTTGTTTTACAGCACTATGGGGTGACAGCTAGCAAGAGACAGTGTTCTGAATTGGACGATATTTGTTCAATCTGTCAAGCTGAATTTCAAAAGCCTATTCTGCTTATCTGTCAGGTAATACACATAATCAAAATTATTTTTTGCAAACTTTAGAATATTTTAAACAACTGGTAAACAAAACAACATAGATTAGTGAGTGTATGTCTTCAGACTATTTTTAGAAATCGTTAGAACAATAAGCAAATAATATACCGTCTTATAAATGGAAGAGCTTAGAAGCTCTAAGTTTTCATTCTTTTCATTACAGCACACATTTTGTGAAGAATGCATCTCTTTATGGTTTAATAGAGAAAAAACGTGTCCACTCTGCAGAACTGTTATTTCAGACCATGTTAACAAGTGGAAGGATGGAGCTACATCTATGCATCTACAGATTTTCTAAAGCATGTCAAACAACTTGTTTTACAGTTTGTTTGTTGAAGCTAAGGTTTTTCAGTTCACTGCAGATTAAATTGTAGGTGGCACAAGGAATGAGTTTCCAAATTCTAGGTGTCATGCTTCTATGAAATGTTCCAGTATTTAAAACACTGCAGAAAATGTTAACTTTACTTTCTTAAGTATAGAAGAGTTTTCAGAATGAAAAGCCAGCATTGCTTCTCTTGTGATTCTTGTAGGAAACAATCGCGTGTTTGAAAAATGCTGCATTACTTCTTGCAGCAGCTTCTTAATTCAACATTTTATTTGAAAGTAGAGTTCCAGACTGTACTAAATTTTATTTATCCTTCTAACATGACTCAAACCAAAAGATCAACCTACCATTTTATTATGAGCAAATTTTATACTCTGGACTGCAGTGAGAATTAGAGCTACTTGTCACACTTGGCATTAAAGATCCTTTAATGCTTGCCCAATAGATGAGAGAAATTAGCTTCTTATTCATGCACCTGTAACAGCAACTATTTCTCACTGTACCTGGAGATAAGCCACAAGAATAAGATGCTTCCCCTTTAGGTTCTTGTAGATTTCTAATGGGATCTTTGGCTTAATACATAAACCAACCACTGATGTTAGCTTTTTACTTAGCATTTTATAAGGGTGGTATTTTTAAAACAAATCTTTAATACTATATTTTTGTCATAACAGGAACCAGATTTTCTTACAGGGGAGAATCTATTTTATACTATATTTGCAATTTGTAGTATGCATAAAAATCAGAGAGAATAAATGCATTTAAATCTCTTTGTTTGGTGCATGTTGAATAAAGAAACAAGATTCATTGCTGTTTCAGTATTAACGTATGTGTAAGCACATAACAACAGCTCACTGCTAGGTATACTTTTCCTGTTAAACTAACATCTCAGAAAAACAAAAAAACCTCCAACTGCTACAACTTATTCATGACTAGTCTTTATGCTAATTATAGAGCTAACTTACGTACAATCTCACTTTTTTCCTGCTTGTCTTTTTTCACCTTGCTATTCAGATAAGACTAAAAAAAACCCCAAACACTCAAATTACTCTGTTACAGCGAAGTTAAATTGAGTTCGCATTAACTTGAGCTTAACTGAATTAATTCAGTCTTGACTTAATTCAGTCTTAACTGAATACCTTTAGTAAACATCTAAATTAGGGAAAAAACAGTATTAAAAAGTTAAACACTTACTTGATGAATGATGTAGCAACTCAAAAGGCCGGGCAGAGTGACTGAGTACTACAAAGTTGCAGCTGACACAGCCAGATTTATAGGGCTGACAGGGCCTGATGGGAGAGTGCCCTTAAAGGTACAGCTAAAAATGTAATACTAGTAGAATTTAGTATTCTGAATACAAATCTAATGAGATGGGAGATTCAAGTGAAGAAGTATCATTTTATGTTCAACCTGGGTTTTGCTATAGCATGCTGTGTATTTGCTAATTATATTTTTCTTTTAAGTTTACTGCAGTTCAGAGTAAATGTGAACTATGATTGTTCCATCATAGTATCTGAGTGACTGGGGAGAAAGACTGCAGCTTAAAGAAAACAGGCAAAAGCTTCTAAGTCTGTAATTGGAAACTTCTGGGAGTAGAAGAGACTGGTTCTCATGGAAGCCTTTCCCTGCAGGTGAGGTACTTAGTCTGGAGAACGTGCAGCTGAATCGTGTTGGACCAGTCCTCAGAGTGGCAGGGAGGAATCAGAGCTTGGCCACAGCCAGAGCTGTGCTGAGATGGGCTTGTGCCTGTGCCTGCAGTATTGTCAGAACAAACTGCTCTTTGTTTCCTCAGAGAGATCTAGCTATGCCTTAGCTTGCATTTGAAGTTCATACAAGATCAGAACTGTTTGTTATTTCAATTTCATCAGTGCTCATATTCAGACTGCTGCTGCAGCAGAACTTCCTTTGAGAGATGGACAAGAACTGAATCATTCAAGGAACAAAAAAGAGTAGGGAGAAACCTAAGGTTGGATTCTGAATCTCTGATGGGCCCACAGAAACTTTGGCAGTTCACTTGGTTACAAAATCCTGTTCAGATTTTCCCAAACTTAATCATGAACATACGGTTTAGCTAAGGAGTATTTTAAGATTATTTTTTTGTCTTCATGCAGGTATTGTGTGAGTACTGTGTAAACAATTCGAGTGCTATATTTAATTCAGTCAACAAATAGCACCTTTAAAAAAAAGCTTTGCTTGTGTGAGTAAAATGCGTCACTAAGCCCAATACACAGTTTATAAGGGCAGATGTAATGACCAACCCTTTTAAAATACTGGGCAAAATAAAAAATTGTAACTTACCCTGGATTAGCTTTTCCTGAAATGCTAATACCAACAGCTTAATCACTTTTTAATTTAAAAATCCTTTCAGAGAAAATATAAACTAAAATTTGTTAGATTTGGACATGATGTAAGAGAGCATGAAAATGCACTTCCTAATACTTGAATATTGATTAAATTCATTGCCTACCAGCAATAGGTAGCCATTCATCAGAATTCCAGTACTCTGTTGACAGACTTTCAAAAATCTTTTTAGAACAATAGGTTTAAATCACCTAGTCTATTCCTGGAATATTGACTGGGGAGGTACAGATTCTGAGATACACCAGCTGCTTAATACAAACAGTTGTCCTGAAAGCAGAGCCACTACCCTGCTGACTAGGGAAAAGATCTGAGAAACAAGTATGCTTTCTTACTGCCTTATCCCCAAGATCAATAAATAGCAGCCCCACTGCTTATGCAGCAGGGAATAGCAAGAAGGAAGCTTGCCATTCCATCAAGACTCGTACAATTTTTGATTCTATGATTCTGTGACAGTGCAAAGCTGAAGTGGTCCGTCAGGACCAATAGCTTGGACTGGCAGACCTAAGATGAACTAGGAAGGTACTTACAGATCAAGAAACGTGCTGCTTTACACATATACATTCAAAGTATGCAGGGAAATTTGAAAGAAATTAACCTGAACTAAATATTCTTTTGCTGTAGAACAAAAGTATTTATAAACTACTTACCTCAACAGGTAGTTCAATATCTGAGATAGATATTGGACATTGGGGAATTAAGGCGTCAAGGACTGTATGCAAGGCCAGCGTTATTACTAAAAAATACGAAACTAATTTAGAAGTATTACACTTGCAGTTAAGAAAAAAATCAACACAAGAAATTGACAGTGTCATCTGGCCTATAAAGCTCAGCAAGACTATTTTATGTCAGTGCTTTAAGTCGACCCTGGATTGTTGCTGATCCTTTGGTCTTTGTCTACCACATAGTAGTAACACTACCTTACCAGAGTACAGGTGGATATTGTTCAGAGATAGGAACAGGGAACAATTTGTCTTCTGTTCTCTCTTCCTGTTGATGAAATTTTTTTTTCCTTTAAGATCCAGTGAAAATTATCCAAACCCAGTAATATTATCAGACACATTTTATTAAAAACCAAAGAACTAAAAAGATATTTTGATCAACGAGTTTAGATTTACACTTCATAAATGAAACAAGTCATTCTCATCTTAGTTACAGAGAGGAAAAAAAGCGAGTAACTTACATCCATGAATGACATCCTCTCTGATCCGCCTGTCAGCATCATGCTATTAAGATGTAACTCTTCCTTATCAAGCCCACTCAGGCCAGGGTAGCTGCCCTGCTTTCCACACACACAAGACACACAGACACCCAGCACACGTCTGACTCTGCAGGAGACAGAACAGAGAAGAGGATGATAAATGGCAATCAATAGCCACTTTTTAAGAGCCCAAGAATCTAGGTGAAGGTACCAGCCCTTGGTAAGACAGACCAATCAGAACTAGCATCTGTCAGGTCCTTTAAGTTTTATGCAGAATTCTTCCTCCCTCCCTTTCCCTTCAAAGCTGTCATGAAAGACAATGATTTAGATCTGCAGTTATACTAGGGCCTACCTACTTCCTAAAAAAACCCAAAACGAAACAAAAAACCACACCACCCCCACCCCCCAAAAAAACCCAGGTCACTTGAATTAGCATATGTTTAAATTTGCATTTAACTGTTATTCACATCCATCTTATTCAGCAGTTGAGTATATTTAGTTTCAGATAACTGTGAAAGATGAAAAACAGAATAGGGATTACCTTAATTTCTACTAAGGCAGCTCAAGTTTGTTTCTTGAAGACAGCTACAAAGCCAAGTTAATCTAGAAGAGAACAATCTGTAGAAGTTTATATATAGGAACTGCATACAGTGTATCATCAAGGATCTTCAGGAAGAATATAAGTAATTTGCCTTGTTCTTAATAACTTCTCCTCCTCCTTTACTCCTCAGGGTAAAGGATTTCCCTCTAAACTGGGAAAATGAAACAGCAACTATCCTGCTGTAGAGACAGACTTTTAAAAAAAGTCGTTTAAAAAAACGAACCAAAACCCAAGCATCTGTCCTAAGAACAATAGTAGTCTCCCTCAATGTTTGATGCACTTTTTGATTAACAGTGAGAGCAGGTTGGGAGTTAATATTAAAAAGAGAATAGACCCAAAGTAAACATCCACTGTATAGTTAGAGTGGACTCAAATATTAAATGTTCTCCAGCAGTTCAGCTTTTACATAGCAAGACCAAAAAAAAAAAGGGATATTCAAAAGAACAATTGACTCATTTATTTTTATCTTTTATTATGAGCTAATACCAGGATGACATTCAAATGTCAGATGGCACAATTAAGACAGTCTTGGTAGGAATTATTCCAGCATTCCCAAAATTACAATTTAGTACACGAATGGCATCAAATGTATGCATCACTCCCACAGAGAAAAATTATGAAATTCTGAATATCTTATACCAGAATAGTTTCTGCATCAAATGGGAAAAGAAAAACTGCTGGTAACACAGCTGACCTATATACCTTTTGTGATAATGACCTGCAGAACAAAATATTCCCCTATTTACTATCTAGTAAAAAAAAATATGACTTTTGTTCAAGTTTAAGATTTAATACTTTTATATGGTTAGCCAC